ATAGCTAAGCAGTATCAATTATCCCAGTAACACAAAGGTTTCACTTTCAATGGTGCCAATTTCTTGTTAACCATTGCATCTCTAGGGGAAGAGCTGCCATTTCACAGGCTTTCTGGGACTGAGTAGGGTTTAGAGTGAGGGGTGTGTTCCCAGGCAGAGTTCCACCCAAACAGAAAGTAAATTAGATATAAAACTTTGGGGCTGGGCGTTGGTGTCGCACGCCTTTAATCCCAGCTCTTGGGAGGCAGAGGCAGGCGGATCTCTGTGAGTTTGAGGCCAGCCTGGTCTCCAGAGCGAGTGCCAGGATAGGCTCCAAAGCTACACAGAGAAACCCTATCTTGAAAAATCAAACAAAACAAGACAAAACAAAACAAAAACCTTGGAGTCAGTAAGATGGAATGGATAGTAGAGTGTTTTCTCTGAATTTGCTAAATACAAATGGATTGAATATTGTAAATACAATTCTTACTTGTTAATTGTTTTTGTTGTGTATAGTTTTACTATGTTAAAGTTAAAATCTAGACAAATAGGAGGAATGTTGTGGAATATTATTTTAAGATGTGTTACTTTTGTAAGCATTTTGATGATGGCTCAGATGGGATGGACGAGGATGGATTATGGCAGTCAGGAGCCAAAGAATACTGAATGTTACAGCTCAGATGGAGAGTATTCTGGCACTTGGGAGTCATAGAATACTGAGTGTTACAGCTCTGATGGAAAAGAATTCTGGCATTTGGGAGCCAAGGAATACCACAAGTCACAATAAGCATAGTAGCTTACAGCCCTGCTTCAGGGAGAGGCTTCCCCAGTGTATCAGCTCTGCTCTGGCAGAAGAGGGTTTTCCTGGGAAGTTGTTACAGTTCGCTCTAGTCCCCAAGAGAGCAGAGGGAGCAGATCGGAGTGTAACAACTTTGCTTAGCCAGGGGAAGGGTTCCCCACCAAAAAGTGTTACAGCCCTGCTCCACTCCACCCAGGGTCGTCCCTGCTCAGGGGAACGAAGGTCTTCACCCAAACCTCATTCAAGAGATTTATTGGGAGGGAAGAATCCAGGAGAGTGGCTACCCTCTACTAAGGTGGCAGAGGACAGCTGGGCAGCCCAAACAGCTGAGCAGACACAGGGTTTATATAGGGATTCTTAGGAGGTGGAATTTTTCCAGGGTGGGGAATTGGTCAGATTTCAATCCCTGAGCTTAGGATGGCTAGATCTCCTGCTCAGGGATTGGTTAATTTGCTGCACAGGTTTAGCGTCAGGTTTGGTTCTGGTTTCAGGGTCAAAGTGTGTTTCTTTCACTGGTCCTTTTTAGCCCTTTGGCTCTAGTTTTAGGTTCAGGGTGTATTTCTTTAACTAGCTCTGATCCCAGGGTCAGGGTTCATTTCTTTGGTTCTGGTTGCGGGGCCAAAGTGTATTTCTTTGACTGTACCCTTTTTCCCTACAACATTTGTTTATGCTGTGGAACATTTGTTTTAATGATGCAAAGATGTTGCATTGGTTTAACTCTGTGAAGCTGTGTTACTTTGCCTGTCTAAAACACTTGATTGGTCTAATAAAGAGCTGAATGGCCAATAGCTAGGTAGGAGAAAGGATAGATGGGACTGGCAGGAAGAGAGAATACATAGAAGGGAAAATCTGGGAGAAAGGAAGGAGGACCAAGAACAAGGGAAGAAGCACACTAGGGGCCAGTCACCCAATCAGCCACAGAATAAGAGTGAAAGTAAGATTACTGTAGCTGGCAGTTACTTGTCCAGCTGGTCCTGCCACCCTTCTCAGCCCAAAGAAGCACACAGACACTATATTATTAAACTGTTGGCCGATGGCTAGGGCTTCTTACTGGTTGGCTCTGTCTTAAATATTAACCCATGTCTATTAATCTATGTATTTCCATGTGGTCTTGGCTTACTGGAGAATTCCTGGACCTGTTACTCCTTCCAGGGCTACACGTCGTCCTCTCCTCCTGCCTACCTTTCCCAGAATTCTCCTCATCTCCTAGTCCCACTTATCTTCCTGCCTCCATTGGCCAAACGGTGTTTAATTCATCAACCAATAAGAGAAACATATATACAGAAGGACATCCCCCACCAATATACCAAAGCAATAGAAAGGAAAAAGCCCAGAGGCACAAGGTAGACGGGTTAATTTAAATTAAGAAAAGCCGGCTAGAAACAAGCCAAGCTAAGGCCAGGCATTTATAAATTAATATTAAAGCCTCCATGTGTGATTTATTTGGGAGCTGGGTGTCAGGCCCTCAAAGAACAGTTAAATAATAAAAACAACCAATGGCAGGTGTGTCACTGGAGGTGGGCGCTGAGATTTTCAAACCCTCATGCCAGCCCCGGTGCTTCTCTTTCTCTCTCCACAGCCTGTGAATGAGGTGACAGCTCTAAGTTACTGCTCCAGTGCCTCCCAAGTGGTATACCACACCCAGTGGGGTTTTTGTTTATTTATCTATTTATTTATGAGTCAATGGCCATCAGTATTTTTATTTCGTTTATTTGAGACAGTATCTCATTATGTAGCTCAGGCTGGCCTCAAATTCACACTCCTTTCTGACCCAGTCTCTCAAGTGCTAGGAGTACAGGCACACCACTTAATTTTTTCTTTCTTTCTTTCTTTCTTTCTTTCTTTCTTTCTTTCTCTTTTTTTCCCCCACTAATCACTCCTCTAAGGTTCCAACAGGGCAGTCTCTCACATCTCCAAACTCCTGTTTACACTATCACTTCGAAATGCAGGGTCTATGTCCTCCTCACTGGAACTGCCACTAGAACATTCCCCGTTGCTCTTCAATGCCTTATCCATGCAAGAAGGCATTCATGGATCCCTGTCTTCACTACTGCCTTAAACTGTTTATCACTGTTCTACCTAAATGTATAGAAATGTAAGCCTGGGTACTGACAGACTCCAAGATAACAACAAAACCAAAGGGAAATGCAGACAGCAGCACAAAACCAATGAAATTTAAGTTAACATTAAGACACTAAGTGCCATATGTCGTTGATGACATTGCTGTTTGTGTTACAGTTCTGAGGCTGGTGGCCTTCTGGAAGCCTGCATGCCTGGACTATAACAGCTACTGATGGAACTTTCACCAAGCCTTGACCCACACAGGAACGCTCTGTCACAGACACACCATTTAAGTATTAATTTCACCTCTTTTTTTTTTTTATCAGTTTAGGATGAAGTAAATTGGTTCCATAAATTCAGAGATGGATACAGACATTGAAACTACAAATTTATACTGGAGCACACAGCAATATAGGTATGTGGATAAGTCTGTAGTTTCCTAAATGGTAAATAGTCATAACAGCATCACTACAATAGTACAAAGATGAAAGCAACACAACTGTCCATCAACGGAGGGAGGGTGAGCTTAGCATGGGCACACACAAATACAATGCTGTTCTGGAAGGCGGCGAGACCTAGGTCATCTGAGGACGCTGCGCTAAACGACACAGGCCAGTCACAGAAGAAAACACACATGCGTTCTACTTGTGTGAGGTGCGTGACACAGTCAGATTCACAGGGACAAAGTCCTAGCACCGGGGACTGGGGAGGAGGGACCAGGAGCTAATACTGGCATGCAGTGTTCCAGTTTTATCACACGATTTCCGTGAATGGATGACGATGATTGTACAACAATGTAAATGAATTTACCACCACTGCACACTAAATTAGTTATATGTGTTTTACCATAGTAAAAGTCAAAATTTTAATGTCAGCTTTAGATAAGATATTAAAATGTTTGTTGAGAACAGAGACTCTGAACATTTCTACACATTTCTTCTCCCAGCCCAGACCACTTAACCCATCTTCCTATGGTGCTTCTGCCTCACTTGGAGCTCTAACAGCCCCCTGGCTGCCCAGTACATCCCAGGCACCCTCAGCTCTCCTGATGGCAGCCCCGAGCTCTAAGCAGCGCACTTCCCACACTGCCATGCCTGGGCTGTGTCTTTCACGTTCTCTCTGCGTTGCATGCTGTTCAGGACCTGCTCACACTGGTCCCACATTCTGACTTCTGCAGCCCTTGTTCAATCGTTATTTATTTAGCCCAGGCCATAACGATGTGTGGAGCCCTGGAGCCAGTGCTGAGCTCTGGTTTTTGTCTGTTATGCCCTGATACATTTTGCTAACATTTATTGTGGTCCTATGGTCATTCTGGTCTGTACTGTCATATTCCACATTTGGACAACACATTACCATTTATTAGAGTTGGAGTCTTGCTGTGTTGCCCAGGCTGGTCTTACACTCTTAGACTCAATTTCCTCAGTTAGTCTCCCAAGTAGCCGATATTACAGGTGTGTATCACCGTGGCCACCTCTGACAATTTTAAATGAAAGAAATCAAGAATGGTTTATTCTTTTACTTTTTTTCGTTTTTTCAAGACAGGGTTTCTCTGTACTGTACTGGAACTTGATCTGTAGACCAGGTTGGCCTCGAACTCGTAGAGATCTGCCAGCCTCTGTCTCCCAAGTGCTGGTATGAAGGGGGTACCCTGCCAATGTCCAACAAGAATGGCTTATTCTAAGGTTTGCCAATTTAGCGGTTTGTTTTGTTGGTTCTTTTTTTTGATCCAATCTTATAATGCAGTGGTCAGTACAAAAAAGTTCTGGATTGTATTCAATGCATAGAGGACCCAGACCTAGTCATCAGAGGTTCCCATGATGACAACTGCAGTGACATCTGATCATGAATGCCCGTGATGAAAGCATCCAAAGTTGGCCTAAAACCCCCAAACAAACACAATACTCAGTGATGTAGTAGACAGACATTTAAGGACATTTATTATAGTCAACTTACCAAACTCAGATTTTCTTTTTAAAAACTATATTTGAGCTCAGTATCTTACGTACAGAATTTTGCACAGTTCACTTCTTTCCGACAAAAGTAAAAATACCCTCTGTATTTGCTCTTTGCTCATCGCGCTGCCTCTTTGACATGACCCCGTACTCTCAGTCAACCCAACGCCAAAGGTTTCATTTCTCTCACGGACAGCCTTTTCTGCACTTCACTTTCTCTCTTTGTGTTCTCGAGAATAGCTTCGAGGTGTGGGGTATTTGTTTCCGAGATCCACAACAATGACTTCCTTAGAAAACGTCACTCCTTTTAAAGGTCTTTTTTGGCTTTCAGCGGTTGAAGTTCTGTGGACATGTACGGGTGTTTTCTCAGCACTCTCACCCTGCAATGAGAACAGGACAGACCATATGAATGACTGACCTATGAAAACAACGAGCCCAGGTTTTAAAGCATTGTCAAATGTACATTATGAACAAGAATAGAGAAGGTATTTTCAGATGGCATAGGCGTCAGTGATGATCCACCACACGCAGTTGCCAGGTTCTATGGCTAGAGAAGCCTGCACTGATGTCATCAAGGTTGAGAGCAATCTGGGCCAGCATTCTGTCTTGGAATGGGTCTGGAGGCATGTGGGAGCTCATAAAGGTTCTGGAAGTGTTTGTGTGCTGATGTCAAAGATCCCAGGACTGCAGCAAGGACACAGGTCTTGTCCTGGGCTCAGCAGCAGGGGGACAGTAGACACGCATCCCAGTTTTTCATGTGACATGAAGTTTAGATCCAAGATGACTTACAGAGAAATATAAGGAAAACAAAATGTCAGGGAAATATTAAGAAAAACAGGAATATAAGAATGAAAGATGAAAACAGAAAGTCTCCAGCTTGACAATGCCATATCTAATTTATTATCTAATTTATTATCCCTACATGGGTGACTCTTCATCAAACCTAAACAACCCCTGAGAGCAGAACATACGTCACCTCAAGGGTGGTTTCTCCAGCATTCGTCAAAGGCTCTAATGTCTGTCTGTGTTTGTCCTCTTCTGCCTCGGTGATCTCTCCTAAGGGTGAGGCCACCTCGCCGTCCTTACTCTGTCTTTGGACAAGAATGCCAGGTCTCACTGGCATGTCCATGTTTACCAAGCGCAGTAGGACCCTGGGAAAACCACCAGCAGTTTTTAAAAATTCATACATCTTAGTCAACATTACCACATAGAAAAATGGCTAGCATAGCCACACTTTATTATAGGATGTGTGAGTATGTGTGTATGTGTATATGTATTCGTGTGTGTGTGTGTGTGTGTGTGTGTGTGTGTGTGTGTGTGTGTGTGCGCGCACACACACGTGCTTATCTGACTGGATGTGTGTAGAGGTCAGAGGTTGTTAGTTGTCATCTGGATGTCACTTCACCTTGTTTTATTTTTGTTTGTTTGTTTGTTTTTGAGACTTTCACTGGACCTGAAGTTCACAACTAGTCTGGGTTGATAGGGATCTGCCTGTCTCTGCCCTCCAGTTCGGGTTACAGGTGTTATTGTTGCACACTGCTTTTTATGTGGGTGCTGGGGAGCCAAACTCAGGTTGTCATGCCTCATCAGCAAGCCATCAACCCACTGAGCCCTTTCCCTAGACTCACTTTTCTTGATCTTTGGGTTTGTTCATCTTTGCACTGGCAAATAAACAATCTTCACCTTCATTTTCATCGGTACAAGGGGGCTTCGCTGGCTCCTCAGTGGTCTTGCCTGTGAAACTAAGAACAAGTAAGACTTCAGAAAAGCGTATAGTAAGGTGCCGCTCTAAGCAGGGAATTGGCACTTGTAAACCCTGGAAGCAGAAGCAGCAGCTGGTTGCTACACTGCTTATTTTATTTGGGGTTTTGAGCCTGGGTCTCTCCTCGCCTAGGGTGATCTTGAAGTCTCTATGCAATAAAGAACAACCTTGAAATACTAATCCTCCTGCTTTCACCTCCCAAATTCTGGGATTACAGGTGTGTAGTACCAGCTTGTCTTTTCCTTGTTCTATTTACAGTGATTTCCTGTTATTCCTAGGTACACTTGCTACTGTAACTTGATGCCTGATCATCAACAGGGTGTATACCATTTATAAAAAAAAATTGCCAATAGAAGGAGGATACAAATGATGCAAATGAGGAGGATGACGAAGAAGGTGATGGTTGTGGTCTCAAAGAACATAGGGTTCGATTTCGAATTCTCATCCATTTTATCAACCCCATTTTGTCCAAACATTCTTTTTCCAGCCCAGTTTGAATGCAGAGTTCTTGTTCTTTATGTTTTCTAGAAACAGAAGAATAAAAGACTGTTTTCATTGTTGTCCTACCGCTCTGGTGAGCCTCACAGAGGGTGCCTGGGTGGTTTTGGTGGAAGTGACTCACTTTGCCTAATTTCTCTTCATAAAGGCGGTAAGGGGCTGTGGTGGCCAGAGGGGAGACTGAGCTGGGACACGCTGATCACTCAGCTCACCTCCCCTCACCCCAAAATTGCCAAAACCCAAAGGCGAGAGGACTTGGAGCAGCTGGAGACGGACCCAGCTCTCCATTCTTCTCTCTTCAGTGACATCACAGAACCATGGAATTGTTGAGACAGAGACATGATCTGGGCTGGGGATTAAAGCAGTTCTCTGAGGTGTGGAGTGGAGGCTACTTGGCACTGTCTTAGCTATTTTTTAGACCAGAATTTTCCAGATTCCAACTTTCTTCTCCTGACTCAAACCTCATTGATTGATCTTTTCACTGATGTGTTCAACTGATCCACCTTCCTATAAAAATTTCCTTCTATAGCCCTGTGTACTCTTTTTTTTTTTTTTTTTTTTTTGGTTTTTTGAGACAGGGTTTCTCTGTGTAGCTTTGGAGCCTATCCTGGCACTCGCTCTAGAGCGGCCTGCCTCTGCCTCCCGAGTGCTGGGATTAAAGGCGTCCACCACCAACTCCCGGCAGCCCTGTATACTCTTAAGGGCTTTTCTCAGAAGGAATGGCCTATGCTCTTCATCCCATCACGCTGTGCAGGACTCCTAGACTCACAGCCAGCTGTTATGAAGGCCACAGCTCAAGGAAGCAGGAATACAACAAGACGCTAAGTCAGATGGTGAATGCAGGCCTGACCTAACCAGGTAGGAGACCTAACCAAGTAGGCATGAATGATGCCCCATGGCAGCGAGGGTAAGGATAGGATGGGATTTTCCTAGATGAAGGCAATTTTAGAGAGGATGTAACAATACTGGGCTTGGTGACATAGGCCTGAGATCCTAATCCAGCAATTGGGGTGATGAGAACTAAGGCAGGAAGATTATGTTTAGAACACCATGTATCAAAACCCTGTCAAAAACAAAAAGGAGTGCTGCAGCTGCAGCCAACATAAAGTATCTAAAAAGGTTGAGGTGACGCTGGTCGGGAGGCTCATCCACTTGGCATTGTGACTTCAGAGGATCACATGTGGATAGCATGAAGGGAACAGAAATGTATTCTTCAAAGCTGAGGCAGGAAGAAGCCTGAGGCAGGCTTCTTTCTTCTAGCCAGCGCCTAGCTTCATACTCCCTCAGGAAGGAGTGTTCTATGCAGTGTGCTCTATGTCTGTGTGGCAGAGCACAAACTGTTCCACAGGCCCTTGTTTGAGACAGCTGAGTCCACAGAGCTCTGCCAAACTCACCCAAAGGCCTTAACACTACAACATTGGGGACAGAGTGTCAGAGGTGAACTTTGGAGGGGACACCTTTCATATTATAGAAGAGGTCTTTGGCTAGACTAGAGCAACAGTGTTTCCTTCAGAAAGTGGGGACTTCAAGCTCTTCATCCTTGGACAGTGTGTGGGAGTGGAGGGCCATTTTGTACAATCTGAGGACATTGGTGCCACTCCTAGAAGAGTTGGGACAATCCCTGGAGAACTCTTCTAGTCAACCCTCCTACATGGAGGCACTTCCTGCTCCATGTGGTTGAGAGATCTAGAGTCTGCCCCGTCTTCTACACATAAAGAATGCTTTTGAGGAGAGGGAAATGACTTGTTTTGACCTCCTAATGGCCATAAAGGTATGTACTTAGGCAAACCCCAAACAGTGTTCGTAACTCTGGGACTCTGCCTCCACTGTGTGGACACTAACCCTCAGTGTGAAAGGGGAATGAGTATGAGTGTGAACACAGGGCAGTGCTGGAGTTCTGCGAGCAGCTGTTTCCAGGATCATTCCCACTGACAGAGGGGAGACCTGAGGCAGGCAGGCAGGGTACAATCATGTCTGAGAGCTGATAAGCCTGATCCCTGAGGGCTTTCACGGACTGTGATGTGGGGATGGCAAACATAGATTTGTATGTGTTACTATAGTTCTGCAAAATAGGAGCTGTCCAAATTTGGTTTTTAAATCCTATTTTAAACCATGAGACTGTAAGCTCAGTGAGGCTGCAGTCACTCAGGGATGGCTCTCCAGAGCGTAGCCAAATATGCCTGCTTTAAAATTCACGTGGGGAGAAGAGTACAGCCAATTCAGCAGAAACACAAAAGGGCCGTAAGGGATCAGGAGGCTGCAGAGATGCCCAGTGTTGAGAGCACCAGCTGCTCTTCTCAGAGCACTCAAGTTCCGTTTCCAGCAATCACCTCAGGCAGCTCACACCCACCCTTAACTCCAGCTCCAGGGAATCCACTGCCTCCTCAGCACCCACAGGAACACACACACACACACACACACACACACACACACACACACACACACACACACACACACACACAAATACACACACACACACACACAAACACACACACACACACACATATACACACATACATATACACATACACATACAGACACACAGACAGACAGACACACATACACACAGACACACACACATACACATACAGACACACATACACACACAGACACACACACATACATAGAGACATACACAGACACACACATACACACACAGACACACTCACATACACACACATACACACACACACATACACATACACACACAGACACACACATCCACATCCACACACAGACACACATACATACACAGAGACACACACTCATACATACACAAATACACACATACACATCCACACACAGACACACACATACACAGACACACACACACATATATATACACACACACACATACACACAAACACACACAGACACACACACACATATATATACACACACACACATACACACAAACACACACAGAGACACACACACAGAGACACACATACACACACATCCACACACTCATACATACACATCCACACATAGACCCACATAGACACACACACTCATACATACACATACACACACACACAAATACACACATACACACATACACATATGCATACAGACACACACAGAGACACAGACACATACACACACATACATACATACACACACAGAAACACATACACACATACACATATCCACAGACACACACATACACACAGACACACACATACTCATATATACACATAGACACACAGACAAACATACACATAGACACACATACGCATAGACATGCATACACACACATACATACACACATACACATACAGACACACATACAGACAGACACACATACACACACAGACACACACATACACACACAGACACAACAGGCACACACACATACACATACAGACACACTTACACACACAGACACACACATACACAGAGGCATACACAGACACACACACACACACACAGACACACTCACATACACACACACACACATACACATACACACACAGACACATACACACACAGACACACACAGACACACACATACACAGACACACACACAGACACACATACACACACACACAAACACACACAAAGACACACACACACACATACACACACTCATACATACACATCCACACACAG